TCCAGAAACTAATATTAATGACGTGTCGTAAATGTAAAAAAATACACTTATTACAAAAACTATCTCACTCTCTAAGGTACTGGCTTCTTCGTCTTTTTCAATTAATGTTGCTTTACATACATTTCAAGTGGCGTTCAATATGAGTTAATAATGCCTTCATAACAAATAGACTAGAGTACTTTTTTCTTTGTTACTCAAACCTCTTAATAGCCACAAACAAATAATTAATCAAACAAATATATCGTGATATTCTATATCTGCAACAAAAATATAAAGGTGAGAACCTTAGGACGTAGATGGAAATGACACGAAAGGGTTGACAACTATAAATAAATGTCAGCACTACCATTATTAATATGGACTTTGTCACTATAAACTAAGTCGCAGTGAAATATAAGAGATTAATACACATTATGCATTATCAAAATATTAGGATTAATTTCGTATGACTTTGTTTGGGTCTTATCCAAGTACTTGAGATATATATATATATATTTGAAACATTGAAAAGATAAAGTATCAAATTGGTAAACTAAATATTATTATGTTTTACTTAAATAATAAAACTATTTAGTTATGTTGCACTAGAATTAATCACTTATCTTATAATTAGAAAGCAGAAACAGAGTTTTGTTTTCTCAAACCCGAGCTACTAAGTTACATGTAAACAGTGTTAAGTCAACTATACACAAAACAGGTCTTATGATAAAAACTGACATTGAGAAACCTAACTTCCTTCTCATCTGATATCAGACATAGAATTAAATGTTGTAAATGTCTTTATGAGCGAAAGAAAGAAAATATCCGTAAGATTTATTAAGAATTCTATACAGATATTTTGTACAATTTCTATGAACTATCTGTTGTGTGTGTGTGTATAGGGGGTTCGGATATTGTAATATTTAAGTTTTTTTTACATCAGTATCCCCTGGAAACCACTTATAACAACCAAACCGTAGTTTCGTTTACGTAAATGGTGGATTTCTTACGTGAATTAGCAAATAATTTTTGTAATGTGTTATGAAACAAGGTTAGACTGTTGTCTTTTTTGAAGACATACATCTTATAAAATACATTGTTCTTTATAATTTATATTTATATCAACACATTTATATCATAAAGGCTACTTAATGTATAACACGTCATCTTCAGCTGCAGTGCTTTTTATATTCTTATAATTTTACAAAATCTTCTGGGAAGCAGAAGAAAATATTTTGTTCCTGTAATAGAAAATAATGTAGCCTCCAAAAGTCTGAAAATAGTGAGCCAGAACAGTTTTCTAGCGAGATTTCGGCTATTTAACGCTAGATGTATTTAGGCTTAACTAAGTTGTTCAAATTATTCAAATTACAAAGGAGATATTACAATACATTATATGTTGTTGACATACAAAATGACTAACACTGTTTTCTAATGAATTAGCTATTATCCAAGTCAGTTTGAATAAATTCCTACATATACCAACCGAACTCTTCTTTCAAACTTTCTTGCCAGTAATCACTAAAGGCTTGTGTCCAGATGTTATTTGTTGGTTTGATGTGGATTAAATTTTAGGTTTATATTCACGACCATGTAATCATTCCAAACTAAAAATATGGTATTTTTATCATTTTTAAATACAGCTTTAGAGTAAATTATATTTTTACCATTTATTGATTTTCGCGCAAAACAACTCAAGGGCTATCTACGCTAACCGTCACTAATTTTGAAGTGATAGAATCGAGAAGGAGCAGCTAATCAACATTACCCATCGCCAACTGTTGGGCTACTCTTGTAAGACTGTATAGTTTGAGTTGGCCGTTACTCTTATATAACACACACCTAGCCTCAAACAGTGGAACACGTCCCCCCCCGTAGTTGAAGGGGAACCGGCACCCCCTATCAACAGTCCAGCACACTGACCATTGACCACGCATTTTTAACACAAGTTATCAATTGTTTTACTAATGTAACAAGCTCAATTCACAATATAAATAGTATGGAATGTAGGTTGAAAAAAACATTTTCACTTTGTAAACAGTATGGATTGGTGTATTGGTTTAATTACAAAGAAATACAAATGACAGGTCTAAAAAAGAAGTAAAAGATGTCTATGTCATTCTATGTCCTGGAAGAAATATTGTGTATAAATGCAACATATAACCTTGTAAAGTTTATCTTCACCTACTAAGAGCAAAATCTCTTTTGTACACTTACTATCCGTGAAACACTTTATAGTTTTGCTGCTCTAAACCAGCCGTCTTTAACCCGAATGACAAAGAACTAAAAGTGGCCCACTTTTACTTTTAGATGAAGTTGTAGTAAAAATATTGGCCTGATATCTTACTCTATTTTTTGCGTAGGCGTGCACAAATATTTTCGTTACATTTGAGCAGTTTTGTTGAATAACTTTGCAGATGTAGCTTATACCAACACCAAGTGAGACTTCTAATTGTAGGTTGTAAAGCCCTATCAGTGTACCAAGTTAACTATGTTTTTCTGTCAAATAAAGTTTACGTATATTTTGGTGCGAAGAAAAAAAAAAAGAGAAGAAACTCAATCAAAATATCTCAGGTACGTCTTAATGGATTGCCTTGAAATTTGGTATATGAAGTAAGAGTCCAGTAGAGCACATCCACTGAAAATACGTGGTAGTTTGTATTACCCCAGTCCGAGATGCAGAAGGAGGAAATTCGCTAAACTATCACTCTTGTTAATAACATAAGTGAGTCCTGCAGGTTTTTTGTTGTTGTTTTTTTGCTGCAAGACGCACTACAGCGTGTCTTGATTTGATACTGTTTTTTTCACTCTGGATGTTATTTATATAAAACAAAGTATATACATCATAAATACCGTCTACATTGCAGGAAGTGTCCTCACTAAAAGATTCCTATCATTTCCCTTGGTCATTTGTCAAAGAAGTTAGGATTGTCAGCTTTCGCCACCAAACAGTTTTCTCCCTCTCTACAAATACACAATTTTATTGGCTAGCTTAGAGACCATTTGTACATAATTTGTCCATAGCTATGCAGTTATAGAAACAATCAGCATCTTTACCTTTGTAATTGATATCTCAAAGAAAACATTATTCTGAATACTCTAAACCTTTTATATCGGAATTTCAGCTTTTTACATTAGTAGAATAATTACTTCCCTAAATTAAAATGTAATTTACCCTGAAGCTGTAATTAATATCATGCTTTCAGTTTTATAATGATCATATAGTCGGCTATGAAAACCTAAAATTTAATTTACAGCAAATCATTAAATAAAGTATAAAACAAAGAAGTCGCCCCATTTTCCAAGACTACGTATCCCAAATTGATTCTGGCAATAATCTCGTATTAACCTACCTAAACCAAAGGAGATATTACAAGAATTCATTACAGCGACTGTGTTACACGAATGTCGTTGCTCATACACAAGATAACTAACACTGTTTGTTAATGAATTAGCTATTATTCAAGTCAGTGTGAATAACTTCCTACAAATACCAACAGAACTCTTCGCTCAAACTTTACTGCCAGTAATTACTAAAGGTTTTTGTTCAAAATGATATTTGGTGGTTTGATGTGGATTATATTTTAGGCTTATATTCACGACCACTAAACTCATTCATCATTTTGGTGGCCAACTTAGAGACCAATCGTTTGTAACACAAAGGGGATTTTACGCATATTTTCTTATTTTATTCAAATAAATGAACGCACAACAAATCTGTAATAAAATTTCTATATTGTTTTTATTGTGTTTTATATTGCTGCGAAGGGTCTGGGGAAACTTTTAAATAATTTTGGAATGCGATATATGTAGGAATAATAAATTTGGTAAGAAATATAGCTTGTTATGCCTTAGTAATCGACACTTAGATCTTTTAATGCCTTAGATCTCAACATATGGAGCTTGTAGTGAGTTGATAAATAATCAGAGCTTATAATGCCTTGGTATTCAACATTTGTAACTTGTAGTGCCGCCACCCTTCGTACTTGGAGTTTGTAGCACTTGGAACTTAAGTTCATCTTTTAAAAAAACTTGGAGAATAATAATGGTTGGAGACGGCTTGAATGGGTAATGAAGAAAAACTTTAATATAAGTTTAACATAACAGCAAATGTACAACGTTTCGACAAGGTTTTGTCATCATCAGGTACCTTAACGGGTATGTCTATTAGTCTATTTCGAATTCGATGACGAGGAACCCACTTTGAGACTAATAATGGCTGGAGACGGCTTGAATGGATAATGAAGAAAAACTTTAATATAAGTTTAACATAACAGCAAATATACAACGTTTCGACAAGGTTTTGTCATCATCAGGTACCTTAACGGGTATGTCTATTAGTCTATGTCTTTCAATGTTTATCTGTTTTAAACATATTCAGCTTACATACAATCGCGTATAGAGTAGGCATATGGTTTATTTACCCAACATACTTTTCGGTTCAGAATATTTGCATATTTTTTATTGTTCATACTTCTAATTGTTTCTATGCTTATAATAAGAATGTTTGTGATTTTTTTCATAGTTATTTTAAAGTTGGCTTTGGTTAATTGTGTGTCCGTTAAGAACAGTTATATTTTGTTTTATGTTGCACAGACTTTTGACACTTTTGTTTAGAAAAGTCATATATTTGTTTTCTTCAATACATTGATAATGTTTATGAAAGTCGTGTTTTCTCCTCTGTGACAAAGGTTTTTGATAGTTCTTAATTTTAGAATAGTCACGTTCTATATTTTGTTTAACAGAATCTGATTATTCTTTTGTTTGGCTTCAAATAATTCAGCTTAAAAAAGCCATACGTTAGTTTCTGTTCCACAGATTCTCGAGTGTCTTGCTTATAACAGCACATTATCTAAGATTTGGTGGTTCTGTTCAGAACATTACGTTTCACTTCCTAGTATACAAACTTTTGATAGTTGATATTGTTAGAAAGTCACATTAAGTCCTTGTTTTACACATTTCAGGATTTCCCTCATCAAGTTCTCAATTACGGTCGTGTTTCAAAAAATGTTTCACGGACACAACATAATCAATTTGACCGAATGGAGGTACCCTAGCAGCTCTAAACTTGTCCAAATACTTCTAGAAAGTGTATTCAGTCCTTTGAAGCCTCCAATCAAGACAATTTATTTTTCCATTCAACAGATAGTTCTGACTAAAATATTTACGTCTTGTTGTTTTTTGTGTTTTTATTTGTTTGTCTTATTCGTTTGTACAAATCATCTATGCTCTATTTTTTTTATAAACGTGTGGCAGTTTATTTTGCTTTTTTTTAGTTACTAATGCTTATGTTTAAGATAAGTATTTTGTAAGTTCGTTGAATTTCCATATATATGCGGCCCGGCAGGGCCAGGTGGTTAGGGCACTCGACTCGCAATCTGAGGGTCGCGGGTTCGAATCCTGTCATACCAAACATGCTCGCCCTTTCAGCCGTGGGGGCGTTATAATGTTATGGTCAATCCCACTATTCGTTGGTAAAAGAGTAGCCCAAGAGTTGGTGGTGGGTGGTGATGACTAGCTGCCTTCCCTCTAGTCATACACTGCTAAATTAGGGACGGCTAGCGCAAATAGCCCTTGTGTAGCTTTGCGCGAAATTAAAAAACAAACAATATATGATGTACAAGCTGAAACACCCGTACTTTGTCCAGGTTATGAACATACAAATATGTTGGGGTGGATGCTACGATAAATAACACAAAAATCCTAACTTATACACAATTGTTTCATAACATATTAATTATAATTACAGTATTCACTATTACGTCACCAAATGTTTTGTATAAGTTTTTAAAACTCATTATGTATGTACTTAAAACTTACCTGTGCGAAGGTCAGGGTGATTTTGCAGAAAGAGGTGGCGAGCAGTTAAAATAGCGGCAGTAGGGGTGCTTTTTGTTAACGGCTTTCACCACCCAGCTCTTAATGTCCTTCTACAGTGTTTCACGTGATTAATTAATTGATGCTGATTGGCTGCAGAAGTGTGTTACGGCCGAAATTGAAAGGTCACCGGTCAAAGTAGGAACTGGGTATAACTCAAGAAACGGCTCTTCATATCAGCCACCATAGGCTGTTGGAGTACAAACTTCAGCTAGGTTTATATAATATTACAATGGTGGCGGCCAATTTTTTTCATTGGAATCCTCCATAGAGAGTGCTAGCACACTTTCAGAGATATAAAAGGTGATTGTGTGCCCTCACCCCACGCTGTGTGTGTGTGTGTTGTTTTATAGGTTTTTTTTGGAGAGAGGGTAAGGACGTGGCGTCATCTATGAATGTAGTTAACGTTAACCTACATCAAAGATAGTAAATGCTCAATAACAGCAATAATAATGGATAGAATGGGTTTTTAACCCTCATTAACATACCTCTTGTTCCAAACCATTATTCCACAAATTTGGTTGAGATTGGTCCAGTGACCTAGGAATAGTTAGATAACCGACAGACAGACAGACACACAGATTTTTGTGCTTTATATTTATATATACATATATGTAATCATTTAAGGCATTTACATTTGCTCCCGGTCAGTCATCCATAGTCATAAACGAATAAAGCTTATGGTAATAGCATCAAAAAAGGTCGGGATATCCCATCTATCAAACAAAATAAAAAACGCCGAAGTTAAACAAGTTCACTATCGAGGAAAATCAAAACATGGATGGGGAGGTTAGTGCTTAAAACCACAACCTCTCACCTCCTACTGCATTTCGCTGTCTGTAGCCAGAGGTAGAAAAGGAGTTACCCCCAAAACTATTTAAGTTTTAAAAGTAGAAACAGAACCATACAACATTTCTACAGTAAGTATAAGTTAATTACATTCTTTTTCAATTTTTAAAGACCTTTTAAGGATGGTTATTGGGAGTTCTATACTGTAGAAATTTTAGAAAAAATATTTAACACAAAGTTATTAACAGAAAGAGAAGAATATTATATTTTAAAAGAAAAATAACCCCTTATCCCTACGGACTAAATCAGGACTTTCAATATATAAATGCTGAAACATTAGGATAAAAATATTTGTGTAAAAACTTTATTTTAAATTCAAATCTGTAATTTTAAGCATAATAAACATAGGGGTAAAGGTAAAAGCAATAGTAAATGGACTGATTTTGAAATGTTTAGTAAAAACCTAGATATTGCTTTTGATAAATCTGATAATTTAATAAAATTCATAACTAAACAGTTATTTGAATTAAAAAATACGAAAATTGGAGGTTTTTCAAAGTATGTGTTAAATTTTGATTTTAAAAAATATTCATATTAAAAATTTAATTATTCATCCAATAAAATTTAAATATAAATGTAATCAAGTTCCGAATGACCTTTCAGAAACCAAAAAAAGAGAAATATTATTTTATAATAGATTTTAAACATAAAATTTACTATGATTTATCTTTACCGTACCTTATTTATAAAAGTATTCAAGAAAATATTTTCCTTTAAAATCATTACAGCCTACAGTCAGTTTTAAATATAACAAACCTATTGGACCTCTTCTTTTTAATTATAAAAAAATTCATTGAAGAATTTAATCCTTTAGAAATCGATAATTTACCTTTTATTTATAGTAACAATGAATTTAAGGACACTTTTTATAATCATATAGTAACAGATAATTCAAAAGTAATAAAATATAATGAATTTAAATTAATTTAAAAAAGTGGTACTAAATCTGAGATCTTAAAAATCTAGAAAATAATATTGATAACTATATTATTAAAATAATTAAAAACATATTTCCCACCGTGTTTCTTTTTTTGAGTGGAAACTATATAATATTAAATGCATTAAAACTTAATTAAGAACCTAAATTTATCTACATACAAAATAGACTTTTCTTTTAATCTTTTTAAAAACAAAATAAAAAAGTTCAAATAAATTTATTATTACACCTGTTGATAAAGCTTAATGTAATTTTGGCTTTGTATGTAAAAAATTCTTGCCCAAATTTTAATTATTGAAATCAATACCTCAAGTACGTATACAAAAACTGCTTTAAAGAAAGATACTATTATTACTAATATAAAGAAAACCGTTAAAAAATGGAATATATACACAAACTGCTATAATTTACCATTTTTATATGCTATCTCTAAACTGCATAAGAATCCTGTAAAATTCAGATTTATTACCAGTTATTTAAATACTGTTACCAGATCCATTTCCATTGTACTTTAAAAAATAAGATATTTTGTTTAAAGAATAAAAACAGTGTAATCAAAAAATTCAGAATTTTTTTGGATTATAAAAAATAATATTCAAATTATATAATGTCTGGATAATCTAGATTCTTTAAAAACAGCCAAATCAGTAGCCACTTACGATTCGACCATATTATATACTACAATAGCTTTAAAAGTCCTTGTTAGAGTACTTAATAACCTGTTTGATAACCTTATGAATGCAGAGATGGGTATTCTAAAATATAACTTCATTAATATCTAATGCAAAAACATACTGTACTTCTGCATTTATGATATTTATATAACTTTTAATCAACAGATCTATCAACAAACGATGGGTTTTCCAATAGGTGCTAATTTCCCTTCAAATATGGCCAATTTGTATCTGTTCTTCTATGAATATTTATTTAAAAAAAAATTTATTTCACTTATTTTATTTCACTTAACTATACATTTTAATATATTGATGACTTAATTTCAATAAATATCTTAAACTTTGCCTCAAATATAATATATCTTAAGGAACTGACTATAGAAAAAGCAATATCAATGATTCTTACTCTAATTATCCAGACGTAGACATTTATTTTGCAGAAGGCAGAATTCAGTTGACCATTTTTGATAAAAGAAGGAAATTTAGTTTTCCTCTCCTTGGTTTACTTACTCCACATAATGTTATTCCTAAGGTATTGTTAAAAGGAATTGTTTTATCACAACTGAAAAGATGTCTAACGATGTGCAATAATAATAGCTCTTTTACGGATAATGTTTTCTTATTCATAAATAAACTAAAAAATAATGAATATAGAGATACACAACTAAAAATTGCTATTTTTTAGAATAAATAAAAACGTATTTTAAATAATAAACCTTCAATTATGGAAACTATTTACTTAAAGGTCGTTAGTTTATCAAGAATTACCTTGAATAACTAGCTTAAATATAAAACCAGTTTTTTTATTCAGTATGCCGGTACTTGAAAAACCAACTTGAAGTAGCTGGGCCTGCCTCAGCTTTCTCGTGTCATACTTGAATCAATTTTCTACAATTTATAAGTAAGGGTGTGGGTTGGGAGTTCTGTATCTTAGAAATTTTGGAGGGTTCTGTTTCTAATTTTAAAACTTAAATAATTTTAAGGGTAACTGCCTTCCCACAACTGGCTGCAGACAGCGAAAGGCAGTAGGAGATGAGACGTTATGGGTTTAAGCACTCACCCCCACACCCTTGTTTTGAATTTCCATGATGGTCAACTTGTGTAACTTCCACGTTTTGGATTTTGCTTGATAGATTGGATATTCCTAACCCGTTTTGGGTGCTATCACCAGAAGCTTTATCCGTTTATAACTATGGATGACTGACCGGGAGCGAAAGTAGATGTATTAAATGATTATAAATTTTTTATTGTTTAATAGTGCTGATCTAAATCACCTATTAACAATAATTGTAATTTATCTATCCTTATATGTATATATGTGTGTATGTATTTGTATATATATGTATATATATATATATATATACGTAATACCATTCAGTAATAAAACTATACACGTAAGATGACTACTACAGCTCTAATGTTAATATCTTGCTTCTACTTCCTTAGGGTTATCTCTATGTATTTATCACATCCATATTTTCATATTTATAACTAGGTGGAGTATCCATTCCCTGGACGGAAGCTAAGTAAATTCATGATTAACGAAAGGTTATCCTAGGACATGAAAAAAACACACCCATAAAAACTGCAAAACATAAAACTGAAAATTTGTATGTGCACCCGCATGGACCTAATGAACCTCCATACCAATTTTGATGAGGATCCATCCAAACCCCATGAAGTAGTTACATGGACATACAACAGACAGTACTATTTATATAGATTCTATGCATTATTGGATGATTATTAGAGCACTACTGAATGTTAGATTATTGTTGTGAAGTATATCACAAAATAAGTGTTGAACTTATGTGACACAAAAATCAGTCTCTTTAGCCATGTGGAATATATAGGATGGCCCAGAAAAAATGGCCGAAACATCGTTATTTGCATTATGCAATACTCTTGTTTCCATATAATATGTATATACATATATTGTCTACAGGCGTTTAAATGTATCGATGTATGTATACCACACATAAAAACTACTCTCACACACACATATATATATATATATATACACACACACACACATAAAAATTCATATATATCGAACATTCGCAACGCTGACAGACAATATTCAGGATCTTATAGAAAGATGCATTGAAGTCAAAGGTCTATCTCTTGAACATTTACTATTCAGGAGGCCAAAATGTTCAGTAAGTTACTCGGTGAATAAACTATTATTAGTATAGGTTTCGGTCAGGATTTTATTGGGCCGCGTAAACTACCTAAATATGCTATGTTTTTTAAGACAGAATTTAAGATTGAGACAGGCCAGTGAAGCTTTTGATATTTGCGGATTTTTATATTGAAAATAAACGAGTCAATCATTGAATTTTTAAAACAGAAGTAAAGCTGATACGTTATATCCACACGTTATCGTTTTTCTGATAGAACTCCTAAATTATAAAAATTATCATTTGAGTTTTAATACTAATCTTATAGATCATTGTCTCAGGCCAGTAAAGCTACTTTGTTATTAGTAAGAAACATTGTATAAGAACCTCTTCATTACGAAAAATGTGAAAATGAATAAATGAATTATTACAGGCCTGAACAGGTTTTACAATAAAGTTTTCAAAATGTTACTCTCATAAAACTACGTGATTTTATCCAACCAATGACCAAACTAAAGCATGCCAATAAAACTATCAGTAAAGTTTTGTTTAGGTTAATGTTAAACATATTAAATCATCATACTAATCTTACAGGATGTCACTGTATTGTGTATGATAGTACATTTGGGAATGATTTTGGAATGTTTACTTCACCCAACTGGCCTGTTCCTTACGAAGATAACATTGACTGTGTGTTATATAAGTTTCAAGCTCAGGAAGACGAAATCGTGGAGATCAATTTCACCGAGTTTGACGTTCAAAAATCTAATTTAGAGTAAGTATCGATATCCAAAATTGAAAAAGTTATTTCTTGAATGTATTTTTTAAATGTACACTGTGCCTATGATATTGATTCTTTAACAAATTAATATATTTCAAGAAAATGTTTTGTTTCGATGGTATGACTTTGCAACACCTAAAAGATACAAATATTAGATTATATGAACTGCCATGTATGAAAAAAAAGTGCTTAAATTAATTCTCTTATTGTTATAATGTTTTCACCTACCGTAAGAGGTATTTACTCTTACTGATCATAAGAGTGAGAACTAGAGTATTTTACATTAAGATATTTATTATTCTTAAAAGGAATCTGAGAGAGACTTCTAAGTGGGTGAGATCCAGGCGCTATTGCATGTTAGATTAAGGTATTTACAAACACTACGGAAAACTACTCTTTTTTTTTTCCTGAGTGTAAAGGGACTAGTGTTAGTGTTTTCTAAATTTGGTGCTCACTAATAACGGAAAAAATATTTTTTGTTCAGATAAGGACAAAACTCATTTATTCTACATTAGTGTTTTCATTAACCCTAGGAGAAACCTATTTTTCAGTGGGGGATGACTAGCAATAGTGCTTTTGTGATATTAACAAACCTAAGTAGAAACGTTTCTTCTCAACTGTGGAAAAAGATTAGCGTTAGTGTGCTCTGTAGTAAGGTTTTCACTAACCCAAAATAAGCCTTACTTCTTCTGTGAAGGAAGAATATTGTTTTACTGTTTCCTGAAATAAATGTTTTTCTTTATCGTTTACAAAAGCCCACTAATCTTTGGAAATATTTGGCCAAAAATTTTGAATATTTCTTTGCTAAATTTTTATTAGAGATATTTTTGGTAAGGTAAATTTTGATTTACTTCTAGCCTGTAAGTTATAATTTCTTTCAACTTCTACATACTTCAAATGTATGTCTAAACTAAGCCTAAAACATTTCAATAAACAAGATTTTCTTCCTCAAAGGGCTAGACTCCTAATATTGTGTTTCTTTAATAAAATTTAAAAAAAAATTATAAAGTACAAAAGATAAAAGCGGTAAAGTCTCGTGCATAAAAATATTTGCAATATAGTTGCAGCAGTGTTCAAAGTAGCGTCAAGGAATGTCACAGAAGAGCCCTGAGGCCATGAAGGGGAAAAGGTCTTGCAAAGGCTCATAAAATAAAGCATTAATGTGTTCATGTGTACTAGTTTTTTGTCCCTTGAGTCTGTAATTATTTGAAAATACTTTATAAGCAAACTGTAAGTTTCTCCTCATATTCAAAAAAGATTTATATTAAATATTGTATTAAACTAAAACAGACCATTTAAAAGTATAACGAGTTTTATTCCCGTAATATCATATAAAAAACAAAACAATTCAAATTCTAAACTATGAAATTTGATATGAACATGCATATAGTGAAAAAATAACTGTTATATAAGAATATGATTTACAATTCATGGTCTGTCCAAGTGGAAAATGCGACACCACTTGCACCAAGATCCAGCAATCATAGATCAAAACGACAAACTTAAACCATTTGCATTATATTAGCATTCTTGGCGGAATGTGAAAAAGTGGTAAAAATATTTTTGTGTGTGTATCTGATCTAGTAATAATATTTCGAATTACGAAGTTTCACATGTTTTTAAATAATACATGTACTCAACTCTCTGGTGTACGCGTATCTATGTCCAATAAGCAGCAGTTTATCTTAGAAAATGCCACGTAGAATAATTAGTGGATGTACCCAAATTGTGTCTTCTACGATTTTGTATTTTTTGCCATTAAACAAATATTCCTTAGGTCTGTGATCTTGGGAACCCCACAAAGCTCCACGAAAGATGCGCGTGAACATTTATTTGTCCAAGGATACAAACTAATTTATGTACTTAATGCAAATACAAGCTTGTTCAATGCAGTTAGAGGAATTGTTTAATATGTATGATTGCTTAACTTAATCAAGCTAAAGAGTGTTACAGGTCCAGCATGACTTTCTTCTGACGCAGCAGGCGAATTTTAAGCATCTTGAAATTAAACTCAAAATAATATAGTTTTTTTCTCTCTTTTTTTCTTTGCTACTGACAGTGTGAACACACTTTTACATAAATGTAATTACCTAACAAAACAAACGTACTTACTTTCTAAGACGACCATGTGAATTTGACAGCAGCCCATATTCCTACAAAACAACGAAATTAACATTTGGTTTTATAACGCACCAGAAAAGTAGTGTTAAAAATTTCAATAATAGTGAGTTGTCAACCAGATGAAAATATGTAAAAGCAATTACCTCAGAACTCTTCTTAAGCTCAAAACGAAATATAGAAGCGAGTCACGAACAAATGATTAAGCTGGAAATGATAGAAATCTGAATTCACCAGCCCTTTAAATTATTCAGAAACAAAATAAACCAATCGTGTCTAGATTTATAAATAACAGATTTGTAATTAAGTGTTAGTTTCAGAAACAAAATTAAACGATAATCCTAAAAAAATAGGAATCGAATCCTAGCACCCGCCACTACAAAGAGAGCAGCAGGTTAGCAACCGAAAGGTAAGATATAAGTTTGGATAATTGGTAATTAGTATGTAAGTAAGAAAAAAAATGTAGCTAATTAATGATTAGACTTAGGTGATCCTAAGGCTGCTAACACTGCCATCGAAAGACTCTCTTGTTTAGAAACTAACAGAAATTTTCTTTGTTGAATTTCACGAAAAGCTATCAGCGTTAAGCGTTCCCCATTTAGAAGTGATAAACTAGAGAAAACGCAGCTAATCAACACCACCAACCGCCAGTTCTTGCCCTATTCTTTACTAACGAAAAGTGGAATTCAAAATCACTTTATAACGTACCCACGACTGAAAGAGTCAGCTTGTTCGGTAACGAATTCGAACCCGATACAAGCAGATTGTGAGTTCTGTGCCGTAACCACCGTGCCACTACTAGTGGTTTCATAAACAAACTAAATGAATGTTTCTTCAACATGGTAACCAACTGAAATATTATTTTGTTATACAAATTAAAGTTAAAACATACCGCTGAAATGAATGTCTTTTGTTATAGAGAACAACCAATAAGATACATTTTCAGTTTCACCCGACCTTGAGCTTGAAGAATACGAGGTGAGTAAAATTCCATATCAAATTTTACATTGTAGTTATATTTGATATACCTTTCGTTCCACAGAAAATGAACGTGTTTCTTTTTCTTATTGTAGTTATTGTGATAAACAATATTATCACTCAATTCTCGTCAGCACTTTGAAATATTAAAACATCATTGGGCAGCAAACCTACCATTCTCAATTTAGATAGATTTATAGACAAAATGATTCACTTTGAGTATTTTGAGTTCAATCACAAGCGTCCAAAAGAAATCGATAATCCTGCTTAATTATGCAATATATATTTCTGTTTTGTTTTTGTTTTGAGTAATCAGAATTTCGAAACTCTACATGAATCTGCTTAACTTGAACCATAGGTGCCATCTAGGAGATTACGTGAGGTTATTTCTTCACTTAAAGGAATCTGCTGTTGATCAGAAAACACAAGCAAACTCAGTACTGTGTGGGAAGATGGGAGATATTATCCAGACTCATTACTCCTCTGCTTCTGCTCTTATATTCGAATTCCACACAGACTGGAAAATTGGCAACAACACCGGATTTCGAGGAACTTACCGTTTCCTCAACAAAAGTAAATAGATATAGACTATAAATAGTTTGAATTATATTGAAATGTATTCATGTATCATACCTTATGTAGTGACTAAGATACTTTTGTAATTTTGTACTTTCGTTGGTGATCTCTCTTTTGAATTATCTTGCGAAAACAATTCAATGTCCAGTATCCGATAACAAACTAGTTTCTTTATTTCTTAACACTTTTACAAGCTTGAACACTGGTAGTTTGTAAGCCACGTTTACAAATTACGCTATCGGCAAATACACTAGCCTAATTAACTAAATTTACTTATATAACTACACGACTGAAAGAAAAAGGACTAACTGATTCAATCTATCGGCTAGAAAAACTATCGAAACAATATTAGTCTCTTATGATGCTTCACTGAACCTCGTATTTATTATCTATCCTCGAATTTACAAGAAAACCTCACATCAGAAGGTTTAGAATTTTCGAAGCAGTCGTCCAATACATGATCGTTTTAAAGAACACATTCGTGCGACTGCAAATTCTAACAATAAAGAAGCCTCCGCTGAACATTACGTCAACGCACACAGCATAATTAACGAGAACACCTTATCGGATCAAAATTTTTGAGATTTGTGACAACTTTCTTTAAAGAAAATTTAAAGAATCTCTTTTGATTCAATCCAAACACCCTTCCATTAACAGTTACAATACCTGACCCCTGTAATACCATTATTATTATGTATGCTTTTATTTTATTTATTTACTTTATTATTTAATTTTAACATTTACTTTTACGATCTGCGACTCTAACGTGATCAACAATACATTTATCACACTTCACCGTGCACCGTTCAAATATAATGTAGTTTTTACATTCTTTTCGGTTACTATTATATAAAATCTGTTTAGCAACCTGTGACATTCATAGACCATTGATAAAGGCGTAAGCCGAGACGTCGGGTAGAATATTTAAACATTTATCTAAAATTGTTTGTCGACTTCATTGAAAATATCACTAACTCCTTAATAAACAAATCACATGGTGAAAGCACCTTTATAATAATATTCTAATTATCTTTCATTGTTTGTTTATTGTCAAGAACAACATTAGAAAATGGGTTATGTGTGCTCTGCAGGTTTCGAAACCTCATTTTTAGCTTTGTAAACCTCAAACGTACCGTTGAGACAAATTTTCTTAGAACAGGTTTTCATCCAATATTGACAAATGAATCATGTCCTTAACAGAGCCAGTTAATTATTCTGTTACAAAATTGAAACTCATTGCAATATTAATTGAATGCATTTTGACCAAAAGATTTTCTCAGGTTTCTTATTTTATTTTATTTTTTTTACATACGTAAATACAAGTAAATTTAACATATGCAGGAAGACCTCAGACAATAATTCTTTAACATATAAATCTAATAACGATACATACTTATATATTGTCTGTGGCTTTGAGTCTACTGTTATTTGTGTCGATTCTTAAAGAAATCCTGTTTTTGTGTTCTAACCAATGATGGTGTGTCTAATAATATTGCTAACAACGTAAAATACATGTTCAATGGCATTGTCGCAAAAAGAGTTTTACTGATACGGATACCTCGGCAAATGTCACAGTCAAAAATGCCCTGAATAATATTCACCGGTGTGAACTTTTACGCCCAGAATCCGAAAACCGTTTTCTTCTATATGATGTTTTCGTAGAGAAATCAGGCCCTAAAGTCGGGACTTTCACCATTAAACATACATATGAAAATCTTCACCTATTAGAAGGTAAACCAGTAGTTTATTTGGCATAATAAATACGTTTTGTACAATCAATTAATTAATTCAATGGAGGTTGAATTTGAACCTTCAAGTTGCTTAAGAAAAAAAAACGTCGGCTTTCACCGCCGGACTAGGATGACTTATTAACTACAAGATGAATGAAATATTCCGTAATCTTCTGCTGATTCTAGGATACGGTTTATTTTTAATCATTTTAACCGACAGACGATCATTTACTGAAAAAAAAAATCGTTTAACGTACCATAATACTTTCCCATTACGCTGGTGATCTAAGAAAAACTACGGAGAAATAAAAAAACTTTCGAACCAGTTAATGATCCTGGCGATGAATTATCGCTATTTGAGTGCTTATCTGAATTTCAAACACTCTTGATGGCCAACTAATTTATGGTGTTTCCTTAATAAATAGCGTACCTAAAATCGAAAAACCGATGAAAAATAGATATATTACTTTATGCGTATATTATCAGAGGAAGTGCAGACCATCTATCTATCCATGTACAATTCTAACATGTTTTTCACCATATTTCTTTGATGATTTAGCGGAACTTAGCTGAGTGATGAAACCTATATTTTTTTTGACACTAGGTTTGTTTCTGAATGATGGAGATCCTCTTTTTGGCACCAAGTGTGACTACCAGTTTTTTAGAAGTAATAAGTCCCAGAGTAAAGGCTATTTCTTTTCACCTCTCTACCCCAGTACCTACCCTCGGAACGTTAATTGTGCCTACCATTTTATGGGAAAGTACAATGAGAGAGTTTCGATACACTTTGAAAAGGTCCGGCTCCAGCCAGGAGACATTAGGTTGGTAATTGTTTTCAGAAATCAATAATGATTACTAAGCATTTTAGACACTGTCTTATTTACTTGTTTAATTGTATATAAATAACTCATGTTGCTAACACAATATAAGTACTTCTGAGCACTTATTCCAGTTGACATCCTTCTTTCATGAGGGTACAAAGTCTCAATGTTCGCGTGGGTTTGTGACATATCATTTACACTATAGATACAGAGTGGTTATAAAGAAAACTTCGAAATTTGAATAAAATGTAGTTTAAAGTGCGGGATTTTGCGAGGATCAATGAGCACTTTTTATATAAAAGATGTATCGACTTCATTTAGAGGTAGGCTTGATATGCTTATTTGCAATGATAAAAAAACATATTGAACAGATTCAGTGATAATTCATGAGACACACTGTAGTACGTCTAAGTTTTCCTGAATGTAATTTATGATTCTCGACAGTTTTGTCTTTTCGTGGAATTTATCTCCACTAGGACATAATAATTTTAATGACATAAACATTTTAATTTATGAATTTTTTTTATTGTTATTACCCTGTAGCATTATCACTAATTTCTATTTATAACTTCCTTTGAAAGTTATGGTTCATAGTTGTTCAAATGTTGGACACTTTAATCTTCTCTTTCAGCTGATGAGTATTTTTAACATTTTTATGAAAAATGGTGAGCTAACATTCATAAAAATACGGATATTAAAACATCTCATAATTGGCTGAGTACTTAGAAACATGTAGGAAAAGTCTGATGAAATGTTTTATTGAGTAACATATATAAAAGATTGTTTTATAATTTTGAACAAAATAAATTAAAGAGGTTTGGTCTTCAACTTTTTGATGTAAAAATGTCACTCATGAGAGAAAAAGAATTAAAAATTGGCACTTGAAGAGTACGTTTTAAAATCTATCCGATAAATTTCCTTTTATAACTAAAATAACAATCCACTAAAATATTTCTTTATGTCAGTTCGAAGAAAAGTAATCTCGCAAAAGTAGATGCACATTAAGTTTCTTTCCGGTGAATTAACTTCAAACTTCATAAAAGAAAACTTCACAGTGGAGAACGAGGGATAGTTTCTGTTTCTTTCTACGTCAGATTCTCTCGGAAATGTATACTGGCAACGATACATCAAAAACTGTATATGAAATTGAATCTGCGGATTGTAAAAGCTCACATATTGGAGAGACAAACAAGCAGTTTTTCACCAGTTTGGACACATGTCTAAATATCTGAACACAGCCATTCCTTGGAAATTCTAAACAGAGAGAGAATAATATAAACAGATGTAAAATAAAAGAAGCACTTTTAACAGAAAAAATAAATCCTAAATATCACCAGTGTAAATGTGTTCCGCTATATCTATTTTGATTATTCTCTTCTGGACATCTTAACAAGTAATTTCATACTTAGGCTTCACCAATAAAAAATTATAGATTTCACATAATTGATCGTTAGATGATGTGTAATTTAATTTTGTTATAAATTAACTAAATTCTTTTTCATTCATGTAAATTAATAATGCCTTAAAGATTACAATGAGATTACAATGAAACAAATATTTTGTTTAATTTATTCTCCTTGGACGGTAAAGTCGATATTCAATATCGCTGGGATAACTCAAGTTAATTTAGAAATTTGTTTAAAAATATTTGTTATAATTGTTTGATATATCGGTTATGATGCACACTTGCTTTTCTTCAGCATAAATTTATTTTGTGTAAGTCATGTGATGATGATAATAGGTTAACCTAGTGAAACGTCATGAAATAAAACGAAATATTTGTTTCGCAAATCTATACAATCTTCAAAATTATTTACAAAGGGCACTTTCTCATTTTTAATATGAATAAATCTCTGTTTCGAGGTTATTTTATAAAGAAAGATAAAGTTGTAGTCAGTATGACGTCATACTATGGGAACGAAGTCAGTGTGAGATATCTGTATTATTCGAATTAATGATAGAATGTTTTGTTAAAACTTAGAAGCTAAACTTGATATTTTCTCCATACTAACACTAATTTTATCACAGTTGGCTAGGCTATTAATATATTTTATTTATTAACAGTAAGGATGAATTAAAGTGAGACCAAATATATCCGTGTTTTTTTTTTTGTTTTACTTTTCGTGAATTTTTTATAAGAGAAAAAACACATAACTAACGTAGAAATCATCTTATCTAGCTGTCTATATAGTGAAGATAAAATTAAAGTGCACGACGGAAAGGATGCCCGGAGCCCTCTGATTGGACAATTATGTAATTACTATGATTTCGTAGATTTTTTATCGACTGGTCCTGACTTGTATGTTGAATTCCACAGCCAGGGTCACTTCTCTGGCCAGGGTTTCAAAGCAGCTTTCGAATTTAAAGAAGAAAACCTTAACGTAGGATTTAATCTTCCATCGACAGGTAAAACAATCAACTAGGAACAGTAGTATGTTAATTATTTACAGATTGAAAAAAAACATTTAGCTCCAAATTTTATTTACTACTTCTTAATCTTTTTTGTTAAATTTCGTCCTTTCATTTCTTAACTTACTTCATCTTTTTTTTGTCTATCCGTTATTTCTTTAAGTTAGTAGTTCACTATTTTTATAAGAGTATGCTCAAGCACTCTCTGAGATGTAACTGCAATAGTCCACAATGTTAATATACTAAAACTTTCAACGTTTGCCTATCTTGTCTCTTTTACCATCCCGGAATAGTAGCTTGAGTAGCGTAATTGTGTTTATCTTTTTATCACATGAAGACCATCCAGGAATAGTAGCTTGAGTAGCGTAATTGTGTTTATCTTTTTATCACATGAAGAAAAGGAAAATCCTTTATATTATTATCTGTGGGAAAAAATACTATTGGTAAAAGTAAAATAACTACCTTTTGTTTTTCTGACAAGATGATGCAGGTGATATTTATAGTTCCTATAAATATCATCCTGTTTTAAGTACTTTATTCGTTTAATTTCCAAAACAAAGACTGAACTCCTTTGATTCTATATTCTCTCCTCCAAATGTAAGATAGTATTTCACATCTAAAATGTATTTGAACCAACATAAACTAAAATGCAAATTAACAACTTGGGAGCGTGAATTCTGATTTCTAAGAAAACAAAATGAAAATAAAATAAGCTCAACCAGCACGCATTACATTTTCTTTTTCAAGCGTTGAAAAAATATTTTATTATTTGTATAGAGTTTGGTTCAAATAACTTGTTTCGAAGATTTTATATGAACTATTGAAGTGAATAGAATATTGAAACGTATATAGTATGCTTATATGAAATATAATTAAATTAACAATATGATACATATATAAATACATGACAATTCACATACGAATTATTTTACAAAATATTCAGTAAAATTGTAATCTAGTTGTCCTTTTTTAGTTATCTCTATTTTTTACCTCTTTATTAGATTTATAAAATGATTTACCGTCTATATATTTATATTTATATGATTCATCATCAATCTATCTATGTATAGATCACTTATTAGTTCTATTTGTCCATCAGTTTATCTGTCCAAGAAATGTTATCTAGTTTTATCCACTTTCTTTTTTTATAGAGCCCCTGAATAACGGTTTGAGGTTGCCAGTTATCGAAGAACGTCGTAAGTATATATGATAGTTTTGAAACTGGCCTGCTTCATTACATTTCTGCAGTTTTGTTATTGATAATGTTGAAACAGCCTAGGAATTTTCAGTGTATCAAGTTTATTTTTGTTTTTTAGTTCGAAAGTTATCATTATATGAGAAGAAGAACAAAGCCAAAGGCGGTTCCAATACATATAAATAACACATACACAAATATACGCGCACAACTAAAGAATGATATACATGTATATAAGAATAAAAGATACCGTTAATACACACCCACTCATATATTTACATAAAGATTTCTGTCATGTGTAGATTCATAATAAAAACATTGTTTTATTTATTTGTTGAATTTCGCGCTGAGCAATCTGAGGACTATCTGCGCCAGACGTCCTTAATTCTGAAGTGATAGACTAAAGACAAGGCAGTTAGTTACTAAAGAATAATGAGAATGGCTGTTACACTATAACTCACCACGGCTGAAAAGGTGAGCATGCTTAGAGTCGGGTTTCGATCCCGCGACCCGCAGATTGCGAGTTGAACGTCCTATCCACCAGGCCAAGCTAGACCCTTCAAAATTGTTTTTTTGAGCGAAAAACTACACAATAAGCTGTCTGGGCGCTGTCTACCGCGCGGAATCAAACCCCCAGGTTCAGCATTGTAAGTCTGAAACTTACCGATGCCTCACTACGAGACAAAACATTGAAATAAATCAGATATCAATAATAGTTGGTAATATGTGTACTTAACATACAGGTTTATCAGAAGAACTTAACTAACAGGAAAACCATGTTTTTATTTATTTTCGTGAATACTGAGCGACTTCAGCTCAAACAAACAAATTAAACATACCTTCAAGTCTCTTGGCATTAGTACTCTCAACAAGGCACATAATGTGATTATGTGATTGTAAGGTTTCCTGGAAGCATAATATGAGGGACACGGAAACATTGCAGACTTGTTAAAAGCTATGTGTATACCTGTATATATATATATATTAGATCCTTACGTTTTCTTGCGAATTTATTAAACAATGTTCATTAAATACATAACATGGTATCAGAAACAAATATGGTGACACACGTACGGAGTGAAACAATTTATCATAAGTACAATATATAAATACAGAAGAAAGTGTACATTGTACAATGCAGTAGTATTTTGTATTTGTTTTATACAGAGCAGTACATCTTGTTTTTATACTAACTACCATAAGATATCAGTGTATGACTGTATACCGTGTTTTAAGTATATACATATTGATTGTTTTTTGTTTTGAATTTCGCGCAAAGCTACACTAGGCCTATCTGCGCTAGCCGTCTTTAATTTAGCAGTGAAAAACTAGAGGGAAGGCCACCAGCCACCACCAACCCTTGGGCTACTCTTTTACCAACGAATGGTGGGATTAACTGCACTTTATAACGCCCTTGTGGCTGAAAGGGCGAGCATGTTTGGAGGAACGGAGATTCGAATCAGCGACTTTCAGAATGCGAGTCGAGCGCCCTAACCACCTGGGTATGCCGGGCCCATATATTAAACCATATATTATTAAGAATTATACAAAACTTTTGGTGAGGTAATAATGAATACTGTAATATGTTATGTTATAAATAAATTGTGTGAAAGTTAGGATTTCTGTGTTATTTATCATAGTATCCACGCCCACATTTTTTTAAAAGTTCATAACCCCAAACAAAGAACGGGTGCCACAGCTTGAATCTTATAAAAAGGTTTGGGCTTTCTACATTGAGAGCTTATAGTGTTAAAACTATTAGTATCTGCTTCAGTTTCCATACAGTTCCTAATGAAACACGAAATTTCACTTCAATTTTGTCACATAGAGTAGTCATGCCAATGCAGAAGTTTGATTTCTACGAGGGTGTCATATGGTTTCTGTTAAGGAGCCGCAACTGTACTTTTACAGATATTACGCTGATGTGTCACTTCTGATTGGCTGGGTGATAGTCATTCACAGTATACGCTTTCAACCTCTTATCTGGTGCAGTCTATTTACGTACAATAGCATTTTACATTAATTTTATTGACTGTTTCCATTAGTATTTCCGGTATTGTTTATATATAGCAAACTAGGGGCACAAGCTCAAGAGTAAAATTTTATTCCAATTGACAACACGAGCGGTTTTTCAGCATTAAAGAAAACAGCTTTCAATTAGAAAGATTTTTTTCGTTTTTGAAATAGTTGAAAATCATTATATAGAGCCACAAATGATGAACTATAATTAAATATTTAACATAAACTAATAATAACTCCTAAAGCCAAACTTTAAAATGTTTGTATACATCAAAAATGCTTTTACTTCGAAAACTGGCATTTCTCTTCTTGGTGTTTAATAAAAGAGAAGGAAAACTAAGTTATGAACTAAGTTATTTTAAAACATTAACGAATTGAGAATATACCAGAATTTGAAAATAAGGTTTTTGTAGCTATTACCAGTTTTAATTGATTATTTATGTATCGTTTATTTTTACTAATGTTTAATTTTGAAATATATATATTTGTTTCAGTTATAACGCTAAGATCCGGGGTTTGGTTCTCCGCGATGGACAAAGTGTAGGAAGCCCATTTGCATATTTGCAATAAGAAAGCAACGGCAACGTTTGTTTTGTTTAAAAGTTTGCGCAAAGCTACAGGAGGGCTATCTGCGCTAGCCGTCCCTAATTTAGCAGTGTAAGACTAGAGGAAAGGCGGCTAGTCATCACCGCCAACTCTAGGCCTTCTCTTTCCCCAACGAATAGTGGGATTGACCGTCACTTTATAACGCCTCCACGGCTAAAAGGGCGAGCATGTTTGGTGGAATGGGGAATTTCTGGATCTCAACTTCAACTCTACATGCAGTACATGAGCTAATGGCCAGGTCAGAGGTTCTTAGTGTTCAAGCTGAGCAATCCATAGTTGAGAGCTGCTAATTAGAAGGAGGGCAAGTAATCAGCAACACCCACCGTCTATGTAGTTAAAGAAGAACCATGTGTATTAAAAATCTGTGCAGTGCGCAGGTCCTTGTAGCAGACAGCAATGATAGACAACCGTTATAATCTTAGCGTTACTGTTGGACACTACAGCAACAGAGAAAAAAGTAGACCTAGTGCAGTATTAATAGTTATAATCTTAGCGTTACTGTTGGACACTACAGCAACAGAGAAAAATAAGTAGACCTAGTGCAGTATTAATAGTTATAAAATTGCAGAATCTAAGTAAATTGACCCAATTTCATTTATTGTATTTTCGAAATAATTCGATATTAATTTAAAAGATTATAAGTAATTATGAAGAATATTAATTGGACAATAATTAATAATTCCAAGAACCTGTTAGCTGTAATTATTCTCTATTTCCAGGAACGGTTGTTTGATTTGTGGTTAAGAGCAAAGCTATACAAAAAGCTATTTGTACTCTGCCCACTGCGAGTATCGAAAGCCTAATTTTAGCGTAATAAGCCATCAAACCTGTCACTGAGCCACAGGGAAGTGTTTAACTATCAAGCTGAATTATATAAACTTTGTTTAACTGTTTTTTTTCCTTATTTGGAAAAGCTTTTTCTTTCGAGATATATTCACATGTGCATGATATACTATGTCAACTTGTATGCATTTTTTTGCGAACAGGAGAGGAATAAAAAACAAGCTGCTACATAATGTGAAAGGAGACAGAAATTCATATAAGCTGAATGCTCGCTGCATTTTAGGTTCACTATGGTAATAATATATCTAAGTGCACGCAAACAATATTTAAATATGTTCTAAATTTTATACAATATATATATATATATATATGCTATAAACAACGTTGCAAATTGATCATGTCTTCATCGGAAAAAAATTCAGTGTATTAAAGAAGCAAATATGCTGTGGAATAAAAATATTGACCAAAACTTTATACGACCCAAACTAACATTTCGTATTTCGGATCTTTCGAACAGTAAAGTATTAATACCTTAGTTTCGTGATATATGAAAATAATTACATTTTCTTATTCTATGTACATTTTTAATTAGTTATGGATCTTAACCTAAAACCATTTCGTATATAGAGGAATTAAAAATAAAATTGCCTGTTTTAGTTTGCGATGGTACGTTTAGCAGCAATGTATACAATCGATACACATTTTAAATATATTATTGAAATAGCTTTTATAGCTAGCTATCACACACATCTTCCAGTCCTTGGCTCGCGGCTAATGAGTCCATTTAATCACAGATATAACTCATCCTTATGAGGCATGGCAACATCTTTTTCATTTACATCGCAAGAACTTTAACTGAATGATTTAACATGCATTTTATTTTAAAAATAGGCTTATATTCAAATGCGTGGCACGTAACAACGGAAGTTTTTGTGTTTTCTTGATCACTCTTTCCATAAGCATGTGAAAGTTGTGTAATTTTTGTAGCATCCAAAACTTAAGGTGTTCACATGTTCTGGCATAAATTTGCTTGAGGTAACATATGCAATGTGTAAACACGCTTATGCTTATTCATTTTTTTTTAAGGACAACAACAAATTTCAAAGGGCAAAAAAAATGTATTAGTTTCTTAATTAACTCATGAGAGCCTAAGTTTATGAAGTTAACTCTATTTATTCCACACTGAAAGGAAATTTGTCGAAATACATTTACACCCCAGCTGGTTGTGTATTTGTTTGTTCGTTTTTAAGCACAAATCTGCACAGTGAACTTTGTGTGTTCTGCCCACTTAGATTATCGAAATCTGATTTTTAGCGTTATAAGGTCTTAGAGTCATTGGGGTTCGGTCGTGTATATAGTATAAAAATCGTCTCCAAAACAAATAGGAATAAATTTCTGAAAACGAAACCGTACTTCTTGTTTTTCTACATTGATGATAAGAATAGTACTTTATTTTTTATTTTTTTTACACATGAAAATTCATGTTATTGAATTATAATAGACAGAAAGACGTCAATAAGCACGTAAAACATCAGTTACATGTGTTATAGGTAGTTTCAGTAAAGCTTTTTGGCTGTAATGTATATAATTAGT